GGGTGAGCGAGCGGGTGGTGAACCAGCTCTTGACGGAGATGGACGGATTGGAAGGGCGTCGGCACGTCTTTGTGATCGCGGCCACGAACAGACCGGAGCTGATCGACCCCGCCATGCTCCGTCCAGGGAGGCTAGACAAGCTCCTGTACGTGCCCCTGCCGGGACCGGAGGACCGGGCGGCGATTCTGAAAGCGGTCTCTCGGGACATGGCGGTGGATGCTGCGGAGGTGGATCTAGAAGCCCTTGGGAGGGATCACAGGGCAGAGGGCTACAGCGGGGCAGACATGGCCGCCTTAGTTCGCGAAGCAGGGGTGAACGTCTTGAGGGAGGTCAGGGAGGGGGGTAAGAAAGGAGGGTGGGAAGAGGGAAAGCCGTTGGTGATCGGGCACCGACATTTTGAGGCAGCGTTCGCGAAAGTGTCTCCCTCCGTGTCCTTGCGCGACCAGAAGAAATACTTGGCCATGCGCCATTCCTTGTGCCGGGCCCGAGGAGTGGTGGCGGGGAAGGAAGAGGGTGGGAAAGGGGCGGGGGAAGGGGGAGGCAGAGAGGGAGGCAGGGAGAGAGATGGAGGGGAAGGGGGAGGGGGAGGAGAGTGAGTGTGGAATACAGAAAGTCATGGTAAGAATTCATATTTTTTAAGAAAAAAATTTGCGTGCGAGAAGTGCGACACATCCATGGGAAAGACTGTTTGCCGCTCTTGGAAGAAAAAGAATGAAACTTGGGAAGAGAACTTTCCCTTTTTGTGTTGTTCGTCCGGGTTTTGGTACTTTTCAACGTAGGGCTTGTTGCACGCCCTGTTGGAGTTTTGCTGCCGCGTTCCGGCTGGGAAGCCTTTTTGTTCACCGCATTTGCATGAATGGTCGGACTTGGGTGGCGAACGCTCTCAGATGGTGGCGGAATGCCAGCTTAGTCTGCCGGTCCCAGGCCGGGCCCCGTCTTCTCCCTCCCTCCCTTCCGTCCCCTCCCTCCATGCGGGGCGGGATGGCCGACATCAGTTTTTGAAATTCTTGACCCAGCCGCTCCTTCACACTGGGAGGCTGCTCCTCCAAAATTCCGGCGAGCAGACAGAGGAAAGCCTCCCGATCGCACAAAATCAAGGCCAAAAGGGCGTTGGAAGCGGCGTCAAGACGGTCCCACACGCTCCCTTCGTACACGACCAGGTGCAAGAGCTTGCGGGTGCACTCCGAAAAAAGGGCAGGATGGGCCGTCACGTGCGCCTCGAGACCCCTCCCTCCGCCGTTCGCATGGCCGGCCGACCTGACGCGAGAGCCCACAGTCTGGGCGTGGAAGGAAGCCAGACCTGCCAGGGCCCGGAGGGAATCGCGGGCAATCTCACTGTCGGGGCGCTGCACCCCAAACATGACGCTTTGCAGGAGCTGCATGAAGAGGGGATGGGGCAAGAAGGCCACGCGCTCCGTGTAGGTGGATACCATGGAGTTGACCAGCGTGAAATACTGCTTTCCCAGGGGGGGATACTCCAAGAGCTCTTCGGACATCAAAGGGATCAGGCGTTCCAACCCAAAGAAGACCACGTCCGCGACCGTGTCTGCTGCCAATTTTCCTTCCTGTTCGGCCGAGAAATCCACAAAATCTTTGCTTGCCACATGGGAGAGCAGTTCCAGCACGCACAAGATGTCACCCACCGCTTCTTCCTTCGAGTTGGCGTCTTTCCGAGTCCGGCCCACGTTGTGGCTGGCATACGCTTTCAACGCCTGTCCCGTCGCCGTCAACAAGCTCATGGTGGCCGGAGCCCCCAGGCTGGAAATCTGCACTTCGGCGTAGTCCCGCAAAAATACCAGCACGGCGTGCAAGGCATCCGGGTACGCACTGCAAAGCGTGGCCACATCCAGCAATGGCTCCAGGGCGTGAGTGATCAAACGCGGCAAATAGGCTTGCCCTGTGTTGTCCACGGCGCGCGCCATGCCCGCGTACAGTCCTGCCACGACCCCCACCTCTCGCACCAGTCCGCTCCGGCCTACCCCACTCTTCCCGTTCGAGCCTTTCAACCCCATGTAAAGGAAGTGCAACCGCGTCTCCACAGGTCCTGCCACCTGTGCGATGCCCTGGCTGGCCTCCGCGTCGTTTTCCCGCGCCAAAATTCCTCCCACCACGACTTCCAAGAGCTCGCCCCGTAAATCCGAAGCCAGCCGGAGATAGCCAAGTTCCGGCGGAATTTGCGGCGATGGCGAAGGGGCATGGCCATGACCCTCCTGTCCATTGCCCACCAATTGCTCCCCGTGCTGCCTCAAAAAGTGTTTCTCCGCCTCCATGTCCCGTAATATCACCTTCCAGGCCTCAGAGCGGACGGCGGCGCGCCCCAACGGTTCCCCCCCCGTGAGCACCACCGCCCGCACCACGGCTATGGCAGCCTTGGCCACCTCCCTTTGCGACGGCCAGCGCGTCAGGAACCCCCAGGCTATCCTGAGACTTTGCTCCACTTGGCCTTCCCCTGCCTCCCCCCCAAAAGCCTGGACTAAGGTGGGAGCGAGGATGCCGTTGCGGTAGAGAGAGGGGTCGGGCAGGAGGTAGGTCCGGGCAAATCTGGCCACAAAGCTGAGGATGGTTTCTGTCAAGTAGGGGGAGAGGAAGGGGTCATCGGGCACCTCTACCGCACGTTGGAGAAGGAAGCCTGCCAGGTGCTGGAGATGGGTGCACGCGTCCACAAGCAGGGCGGCCGCTGTGGAGGGAGGCAGGGAGGTGGCGGGAAGGAGGGAGGGAGGGAAGGAGGGAGGGAAGGAGGAAGAGGGGGTGGAGGCAGGCGTGGCGTGGAAGCACAAACGATGGATGGCCTCCGGGATGGCAGGCTGTTCCCCGTGCATGTCGTCCGCAATCAGGTGGCCCCAGGCTTGGACCAGCACCCGTGCCTCCTCCAACAAGGCCACCACGCCGGCAGGACTGCGGTCGAGGCTCTCTCCCTCCCTCCCTCCCGC